CACACACACACACACACACCCACACACCCACCCACACACACACACACACACACACACACACACACTCCCACACACACCCACCCACACACACACACCCACACACACACACACACACACCCACACACACCCACACACACCCACACACCCACACACACACACACACACACACCCCCACACACGCACCAGAACAACAAAACTGGTGTGCGTGTACGCGTTTGCACACTGCGGTGCACGTTCACACCAGCGTGCGCATGCAAACACCAGTACATTTACAACCACACACACACATGCACACGCACACAAGGGTGCACTCACTGTTCCTCCATTGCCAGTTCCTGAGATGCCCAGCTTCATCTCGTTGAGGTTCTCGTCAAACAGGCGCATCATATCCGCTGCCCCTTGCCGCGCCGCCGCAAGCGCATCGCTCTCCTCCTTTTCGCTGCTCATCTTGGTCGGGTGCTTTTGTTGTTGTTGGTTTGTTTGTGTGTGTGCAGTTTTTTTTTTTTTTGCAGCAACTGATCTGCTACTTTTTATCGTGTTGCACCAGCTGTCGGCGAAGCGGAAATTCAATGAAGACATACATAATGACCGACGGATGACATTCACAATTGCGAAACGCGAACCCAAAACAACGCACACGAACCAAACCAACAACCAAACGACAACACCTTGATCTCTGCTCCTCGCCAACCACCGCGACCACCACCACCGCAGCGGCTGTTGCTCTCGCCCAAGGCCCCTTGCCTCACTGCTTCCTCCCCTCTCCCTCCCTTTCCCTTTCTCAACAAGCAAAGTAAGTTAGAGTGCGCACATCGCCCAGATGTTTCCGTGTATTACGTGCGCACAACTTCTGTCAACACCCGATACGTGCCCATCAGCATCTGCTCACATCCTGTTCCTTTCTCCCATCCGTTTCCCTGCACTCTCTCCTCTTCCTGTCCATCGCACTCTCCCGCGTTCCACTCTCACCTTGACCACTCCACTCCTGCTCACCACCAATTTTAATTTTTTTTTTGCTTTCCAGGGATGAAGTTCGGCAAGACCATCCGCAACAAGGCCTTGCCGCAGTGGGCCATGCACTACATGGACTACAAGGCGCTCAAGAAGATCATTCGCAAGTGCGTTGCGGCGCAGATGAAACGTGATGCCACCCGCCAGGCTGCAGCCGAGGGGCGCCCGTCAGAACAAGTGGCCAGCAGCCCGACAACAAAATCAGCCACATCAACCGCAGCTGGCGCCACCGAAACAGGGAAACCGCCCACGTCAGCGGAATCGGCAGCATCGGCAACCGAACCAACCACACTGCAAGACGACGAGCGCGAGTACGAGACATGCGTCACGTACTTCTTCTTCTTGCTGCAGCGGCAACTGGAGAAGGTATCTGACCTGTTTGCAGACGAGTCAACGCTGCTGCAGGCGCGCCTCATGGCCATCACAGACAAGTTCAACCGCATGGCCGTCGACTCCACCCTTCCGGAGCCCGACTTTCGTCGCCAGGCCGTGGCGCAGCTCCTGCGCGGCATCAACGACCTCCTCACCACGCAGCACAACCTGCGCGACTTTTCACACATGAACAAGGAGGGCTTCCGCAAGATCCTGAAGAAGCTCGACAAGCAGCTCGGCACAAGCTACTCTGCCAAGTGCATGAACGAGCGCGTCAACGTCGCCTCCTTTGCAACGTGCAGCGAGACGCTCGACCCGCTGGAGCACCGCGCCCGCCGCCTCAAGCTTCGGCTCGAGCGCGTGCTCGGTATCCGTGGGTCGTCCTCTGCCATGCGCCTGCTCGCCAAGCGCGCGCCACCGCACGCCACCACGCCCGCCTCCGCCTCCGCCAGCGAAGACGACGAGGACGAGGTCGACATCATCCATGACGTGGCCGGCGGCCTCTCCGACAGCGGCAGGCCCGTCTGGCACGCGGGCAGCGCGGCTACTGGGGACGTGACTTCGCTCAGCGGGGGCGCCATGCCGCACAACCTGGGCCAGCTGCTGGACACCGCCCGGTTCACAGACCTCGACGCGGCGCTGCTGCACGTGGAGCCGATGGAGCGCACCGCCATCATGGACGAGCTGCTCGTGCGCGCATGCAAGACTGCAAACTCGGACGCCATCGCCTATTGCGTCAAGCACAAGGCCAACAGCCTGCACCACACGGAACCGCACGGGTACACGTGCTGGCACATCCTGGTACGGCGCAACCGGCTGCCACAGCTTGAGCTGCTGGCCAAGCTCTCACACAAGCGGCAGGTGCGACGTGCGTGCACAGAGACGGACGCCATGGGAGAGACAGTGCTCCATCTCGCAGCAGCGTTTGGGCGCGTGGATGCACTGCGGCTGTTCCGCCAACACAGCGCAGACCTGGACGTGATGGCGTCCAACGGGTTTACGCCGCTGCTTGCAGCCATCCACCGCAGCCAGACGCAGGCTGCACTTGCCCTCATTGAGATGGACGCGGACCCAGACCTCTTCAACTCGGAACTCTCCTCATGTGAGTGCACGGGCA